TTTAAATAAATGAAATAAATAAAATGCTGTGATGATGACAATGCTAACCTTTTATTACTCAGCTTGGATTTTTCCATTTGGTTCTCTTTGACCCTCACTCAAATTATCAAAAGCTCAGAAAAAAAAGAAAAAAAAAAAAAGATGGCTGTTAGCAATAGTCAACATAAATGTAAACCTGGCTCCCTCTTCACTGACTTAATCTGTCAACTTGGAAACATGTAAATGTATCCATTATTTAGCTTCTACTTAGTTTTACTCCAAATTAAAGCATGTTTTTAAAAAATTTGATATAATTGGAGTATTCAAAACACCATAATGATTTCTAATTCTGACATACTGGTATTTTGTCTTTCCTTTACAGAAGTTTACATTTTTTTAACTTAGGATTTTGAAACTAAAACTGATTTCAAGGTTTTATAATTGTCAGTAGCAAAGCTTTACATTTATGTCTGGTATATGCTTTTGTTCTTATTATAGGAATAGAAAAAAGACCTGCAGTAATGCACTCTTTCAGTGACATCTTTAACTATTGTTTGAAAAACAAATCTTAATCAGTGTTGTCCTGTAACCCTTACTCACATCATAGTTCCTAAAAGGAAACTCTGTATATATAATACCCTCCATTCTTCACTCCCCTATTACTCCCCAAGATTCAGTCCAGGATAAAGTCACACAGTTCCACTGTAGTTCCCCTCCCCAGGGTCACCAATGATCTTGATTTAAAATGTTTAGAAACTGTTTTCAGGAGGGGGACCAGGATGGGGAATACATGTAAATCCATGGCTAATTCATTTCAATGTATGACAAAAACCACTGCAATGATGTAAAGTAATTAGCCTCCAACTAATAAAAATAAATGGAAAAAAAAAAAAGAAACTGTTTTCAGGACTTTCCTTTTTTACCCTTGGTGAAGCAAGGATTACTTGAAATTCTCTGTCTTTGGCCATTCAAGCTGCTCTAACAAAAATATTATAAGTTCGGTGGCTTATAAACAACAAACACATATTTCTCACAGTTCAAGAGGCTGGGAAGTCCAAATCATGGTGCAATCAGATTTGGTATCTGGTGAGGGCCCTCCTCCTGGTTCATGCATAGCTATCTTCTCACTGTGTCCTCATATGATGGAAGGCATAAGGAATCTTTGTGAGGTCTCTTTTATCAGGGCACTAATACCATTCATCAGAGCCCCACCCTCATGATCTTATTACTTAAAAACCTCCACTCCCTAATACAGTCACTTTGAGGGTTAGGATTTTGACAAATGAATTTTGAAGGGACAAAAATATTGAATGTATAGTCTCTCCTGATTTTTCCCCCTCCCTCCAGGTTTTTCCCTATGCTTCTGTGAATAGTAATTCTAGTATCCTTTGCTGAATCCTAGAATCTAGACCCCAGAAAAATTTGGAGCAAATTACATGTCTATGAATCATCATGATAGAGATATAAATTAAAGACATTGCAATGGATAAGATCTCCCAGACAGGAAACATTCTGTAAAAAGAGAAGAGGGACAAGTGTGGAAACCAGGAAAAGCCAGTTTATAAAGAGGGCTGGACAGTGCAGACCATAGATTATATTTAATTGTTTTATTGAAGTATAGCTGATTTACAATTGTTGTGCCAACCTCTGCTGTACAGTAAAGTGACTCAGTTATGCATAAATATACATCATTTTTCATATTCTTTCCCATTGTGGTTTATCACAGGATATTGAATATAGTTCCCGGTGCTATGTAGCAGGACCTTGTGTATCCATACTATATATAGTAACTTGAATCTGCTAACCCCATACTCCTAGTCCTACTCTCAGCCACCTTCCTCCCCCATAGCAACCACAAGGCTGTTCTCTATGCATAGACTACATTTAAAAACAAACTTGGTTGGATAAATATCCAAATTATTACAGTTTTATTATGACACATAGTTTCAGCATTGTATCAGTGTATGAACAGTTTCCTTTCAGACTTTGGATTCCATAATTGTAAATGACAACATTTTTACTTTTACTGCCACAACCTTAAGCAAGGAGTGGATTTTAGTTGTATCTTTCACATTTTAGTGAAAGGTGGCTGAATTCAAACCATGCGTGAAGCGAAAGTCAAAGTGTTAGTAGCTCAGTTGTGTCCGACTCTTTGTGACCCCATAGACTGTAGCTCCCCAGGCTCCTCTGTCCATAGAATTCTCCAGGCAAGAACACTGGAGTGGGCAGCCATTCCGTTCTCCATCTTCCCGACCCGGGGAATCAAATCCTGGTTTCCTGCATTGAAGGTGGATTCTTTACCTTCTGAGAGACCAGGGAAGCCCTGGTTCAGTAAAGGCGGTGGTGCCTCATAAATGCAATCACAACTGTGATGGATTAGAAATAAGCATTATCATATAGGGCTGGAATGTAGTTGAAAGGGTCAGATGCCCAAGCTTGAAATTCACAACTGTAGTTAGAACTGATGGCTCTAAGACCAGAAGCTGTCTGCCCTGTGTGTCACCCCTTAGGGAGACTGGCTGGAAGTGGCCTCAAGGTGTGAGGAGAGCTTAGACTTCAAAATCCACTCTCTGTCCTCTGCACCACATAACAAAGTATCAAAGTGCTTAGATGTCAGAATGCCACCATACTTTTGAGCCATCCTTGATTTTACCAGTTATTAATATGTCATTAGACATAACACATTTTTCCAAAGTATATATGATTGTAAGTGTAAAGAATTATAGAAAGACACAATATTTTTTAGTGTAAATAAGTCTTAAGATCCTTTCATTCCTGAGAAAATAATTGCTTTCTGTATAGCCTGATCACACAAAATACCGGTTTTACATAATAATTATGAAAGTGCTCAATCAAATTTGGCTATTTTTTGTATTTGGAAGCCATTTTCTTCAAGACATTTTTAGGCTTTTGTGTTTGTTTATATAAATGCCATAAAGCTAAAGTTATAATGTAAAAATTACTCCATTAGGTTTTAACCTCAGTACACACACACACACAGACATACACAGACATAACTCCTACACAGTTTCCCACAGTCTCTTTATTAAGAGACTGATTTTGAGCTTGTGGTGTCTAGGTTTGTGAATAGGATAAAGGAAATTTTCACATAATTCCTGAAATCTTTGAAAAGCATTCCTGTTACTCAACTAGTAAAAACTTCCTTGGTGTGATTTTAATATTATGGATTTTAAAAAATATATTCTTGATCTACTTTGTGAAATATAGAGGTCAGGCTAACTGAAAATAAAAAATGGCCATATCAACAATGCTTTTAATACTGAGCATACAGACATCAACCAACTTGTCAATCTCTGTAGAAAAGTCACATCGCTTTTCACATTGGCATTTAATTGAGTCTGCAAAGGAGAAAATATGATTTAAATAGAAAAGAATGTGAAATACATGTTATTTGTATATGAAAAACAGAGTCACTTTTCCATACACCAGGAACTAACACAACATTGCAAATCAACTAATACTTCAATAAAAAAAGAAAATGAGCTTCTGCATCAAGCTCACTATAAAAACATTAAAGAGATTTTTTAATTTCAAGATTTCAATGGAAATCAAAGACTGTGCTGCTTCTGGCATCCCCAGTGGCTTAGTGGTAAAGAATCTGCCTGCAATACAGGAGACTTGCAGAGCTGCTGGCTCCATCCCTGGGTTGGGAAGATCCCTGGAATAGGAAATGGCAGCCCATTCTAGTATTCTTGCCTGGGAAATCCCATGTACAGAGATACCTGGCAGGATACTGTCCATGGGGTTGCAAAGAGTCGGACACAACTGACTAAACAACAACAACAAATAAAATAAATTCCATTGAGCTCTCATTGGCCAAAGTGGGTAACAAATCAAATTGATGACATCATGATGCAAGTCAAATACCCTTGCATACCAAGGCTGTTATAAATTTAATAATGCTTTAATGTGAACACTTCTAATTTTTAAAGTGTAGAGCAATGGCCTAATCATTTCCATCAATTTTATTAAGTAAAAAAGCATAAATTGTTTGAATAATCACTTGGAGTTCTTGGTAGCAAAATGTGACCTACGTTAATGCAACCAAGCTCCATCTCTTTCTCAACATGCTTTTGTACAAATAGAACTGTCACTGGAGTTACTTAGTTTTCTCTACAACCACCAATGTGTTCCAGTAATTTAGACTTCATGCCTCTTTCAGAGATTATAAGCAAAGGCTAGCAATTCCAGTTTCCCAGGTGGCTCAGTGGTAAAAGAATCTGCCTGCCAATGCAGGAGTTACAGGAGACAAGGGTTCCATCCCTGGGTCGGGAGGATCCCCTGGAGAAAGACATGGCTACTTACTCCAGTGTTCTTGCCTAGAGAATCCCACGGACAGAGGACCCTGGTGGGCTACAGTCCATAGGGTTACAAAGATTTGGACACAACTGAAGAACTGAGCAGAGCAATTCCAGAGAAAAGAAAGCAGGTTCCTATGCTTTCTCAGTAATTCCCCCTTCTAGCTGTAGTGGAACTGATTTAAGAAAGAGGAACATAAATTCCTTTACTCAGTTTCCTTTTTCTTTTTAAAGAAAGTTCTTTAAAATTTCACTGTCTTTCACTGTATTTTAATCCTTGATGTAATTAATTATTTTTTGATCTGGTAAAAGATACAGAAATGTTCAAAGGAAGCAAAGTTTATGGTTTCTAAATGAGATAGTTCGATTCAGTTTTATTCAGGAGTTATCTATTGTAAACATTTCATAGTTATTACTGTGAATCTTAAAAGTATTGCAAGAAGTTCCATTTAAAATATATTTATTATTTATTATGAATGTTATATTGTTCTAGTTACACTTTTTTAATACTATGTGTCATTGAAAAAATTATAGATGGCCCAAATATAATAGCTAAGATATATAATATAATCAAAGTATTTAAATTAAAATTTAAAAACTAATTCTTATTTTCACAGGTATCAGCTCTCCATTTGGTATGTTGAAAATACAGATTTATTAATATTAATGCATGTTATTGAAAATTGCACTCCTTTATTTCAGGTCCAAGAAGTTAGCAGAGATAATGAGCAAGAAAGTCACCATGAAGAGGGTATTACCTCATTTTCTACATGTTCTCCTAGTAAGTGCTCCTCTATGTTACGTATATACATAACACTTAAATTAAGGTACTTGTAACTGGTAAAAGTCAAACTGAAGAGAGTATGGAAAAACACAAAGAGCATTGGAAGACATTTAATTAATGGAATGACTTTGAGCATATCATCTGGTAGAAATATTACTACATTATCTTGCTAATTTAAATAGTTCTAACAAGTTCAGTGTTTAATAACCAAACCAGCAGTTTTTCTTACCCAAAGAAAGTACACTAGTCAGTTTGATATAAATGTTCTGCAATAACTATATTTTTTTAATTTTTTTAAACAAAATCACATTATTTTCAGACCTCAGTTTTCTCAGATAATAAATGAGAAGTTTGCACTAGGTCTCTCTGAAGTCCCCACTGGCTGTAATAGAATGTAGTTCTATATATAATAACTGAAGACTATTTCAGAATCTTCCTCCATGTACATAATTCTACCCATCATACCAGACTCCACTGGTTCACAACAGCTTGCTCACTGGGCTAGTCTGACAGGCATCTCCCACTCAACATGTCTAAATCTGAAAGCCCCCAGTCATGCCCTAATCTACTCTACCTGCTGACACTGCCATCTCAGGAAATAAAGATTTCTTCCTTGTTCAGTTCAGTCCCAAAACTTGGAGTCACCATTTTTTACTTTCTCTCCTACCTGACATCCAATGTGTCAAATAGTACTGTGAACTCTACCTTCACAATACGGCCACTATTTCCTTACCCTATCACTGTTATTTATCCACACTGTCCACTCAGGCATCAGCTCTCCCCTGGATTGTCGCGATAACACGGTGGCTCTTAATGGAGCAGTTTTCTACTCCCAACAGAGATTGCATGTCAATGAATGGAGATTTTGTTGTTGTCATGAGTTGAGAAGGGAGTTTTGCTAAAAATTCTGCTAAATATCCTGCAATACACAGGACGTGCCCCAGGGAACATATCTTCTCAAAAATGCCAGTAGTACTCTGTTAAGAAAGCTTGAAACCGTTGCCTTCCCGTTTGCCCCTAATATTCTGTACTTCACAAAGGAACTAATCACACTTCTGTTCCAAATTCTCCTGTTCTTACCTCAGGTCGTTTGCACTTTGAACAGTTCACAGTTGATGCTCCATAAAACTACCAGTTTTTCAACTGATGGAATGACTTGCAAATCAAATAATATTAAATACAATTCCTTAACTAGCATACTTTGGCAAAATCAGTAAACTCTTCAAACACTGGGGCAGAACACAAAATCATGCTAAATGATAATGCAATCAATTGATGCACTAAATTTTAAAGTTATACATTTTATTATCATTTTAATGATTTATTATCATTTTAGTGGTAATGAAAGTGATGTAAAGCCCATCATTGATAATGACCATGTATTTATTATGACATTTAATTCTCAGAAGTACTACCTATAATAAGACATTATTTCAGTTATTGGTACAGAACAACGTCATTTCTACAGACTGTTTGGACCTGAAACTGTCAATGATATGAAATTCTGTGTGATTGGACTCAAGCCTCTGACTCTTTCCTTAGAGAAGAGGTGAAACATAGAACACCCTAAGTCAGCAAATTTCCATTGGTATCATCATTTCTGTGAATTTTCCTAAAACCCACTGACCCACCATGTATGACTCTCGAGGGCTGTATTCCAGGTTTGGGCATATTTGACAAGGACTAAGGAGACCCTGTTGCTTAGACAGTGTTTACATAAAATAGAATACATAAACTGAACATGTATACATAAAAGTAGCTGTGAGGAATTGCCTATAGCATGAATGTAATTCTAAGTTGATAATCGATTTGCCCAGACAGGAACAGTGAAGTCCTTTTGCTAGCCTGAGCAATGATTTCTTTTCAGCCACTCCATCATTTACTCCATCAGCATATCTAGAAACTACTTTATTTCAGGCTGTGTTTGGGGTTAGAGGCAGAAAGATGAATGAGGTCTGTGCAGAGATCTGTGCAAGAACGAAACACCGTCTGCTCTGCCCCAGCTAATAGTTAAAAAATCTTGGTATCAGTTCTAATACTGGCAGCTAGACCTTTCTTCTTTCTCACATGAAAAATGAGAGAAATTAAAAATAAAATTCATGTAGAAATATGCAGTACCATCATGGACATGATTTTCCCACACAACTGATTTTTTTCTCCTGTTGCTAAAAAATGTCTATAGTGTAACTCTTCATATAAAGAAAAATTCCCCTTTGTCTGTACTCTGCCATTTATCTTCTTTAGCTGTATTTTAGTTTAACAAAACTTTGAAACAACAGTTATTTGCTTTTATATTGCACTCATGACAGCAATTCGCCTTTTCCCTCCAATACAGATTCCAAAGTTCATTTCAAATTTTTGTGAATACTTTATTTAGAGCAGAATTTCTATAAAGAAAATATAAACCACAAGTTTTAAGATTTAAAGTGATTGCATTATGTATTTTTCTATTTTCTTCCTGAGTGGCTAGAGAGCATTTACTGTGTACAGTATAAACAGAAATAATGGAATCATGATTCTTAGAGTAGAGGAAATTTGCCCGAATCATTTGGTTAAGTTTCAGAATAGAATAGATTTTTTTGGTGAGAGAACTGAGCCTTAACAATATTTACCTACTCAGCTCAATGCTCTGTGATGACCTAGGAGGATGGGGTAAGGGGGTGGGAGGGAGGCTCAAGAGTGAGGGAATATGTGTATATTTATAGCTTATTTATGGTTGTTGTACAGCAGAAGCCAACACAACATTGTAAAGCATTATCCTCTAATTAAAATTTTTTTTAATTTTGAAAAGTAGAAATTTTTTTAAAAATTTTTAAAAAGTAGAAAAAATATTTACCTACTATTGGTAATTTAGATGCCTTCCCAATGGAAAAATATCAACACTTTATCAAATAGTACTTTTAAGAATTAAGATATCATCTGGTGATAAATGTTAAATAATAACTAAAGAAGAATTACAGACTCATTTGATCACAGTATTTATAAGCAAGATAAGATTTTTGTTCCTTGTCTTTACCTTATCCATTAACTTGCTTATTACTTGTTAGGTTAGTCATATTGTTGTCTACTAAAAATATGGTAATAAAGTCATATACTGAATCTGCTCAAGCAATAACTCTAGAGAATTGGAATATTATTATATATGTAATATGAGAATATTACATATTATTATGTGTATGAGAGTGTCATAAACTGAAGTAGCAGAATGTAATGGAGCTCTCTCGGTAAATATTTTAGAAGCTCAATAATGGCTATTCACCAAAACTACGCGTTTATTAGCTTTCTCCTGTATCAGTTCATAAAAGTTTAATTAATATTAACACCACTTCTGTACCAAGTTACAAAGCATTAACCGCCTCCAGATGGAGTGTTTAAATGAAATCCTACAATCTTTATCATAAACAGCCATACAGAGCCCAGCTCTCCACCACAAAAGCTGGCCTTGCAGGCAGACGGCAGAAGAAGCCAAAGTGAAAGAAATGGCAGAGGAAGAAAAAGAGCATGAATCGGGCATGGAGGCGGAGCACAGCCCTCCAGAGGTTGACAGTGAAAGTGAGAACCAGTACGATGACTTGTATGTGTTCATTCCTGGAGACAACCCTGAAAATCATTCCCAAGAGCCCCTCGTGTGTCCCAGACCACCTCTTCCCCCACCACGACCTGTAACCACTGCCTTCCAACTGGAAAAACCTCACTTCCCAGTACAAGGTAAGCTTAAGTTTAAAACAACTTTGAAACTTTGACACACTTACACAGCATATAGTGCTGCAGTTGTGAAGCTATACAAAGATCAACGTTTCAAACCAAGAAAAACTTTCCTGCTGTTCTTTAATAACTAAAACCTGAGAAATCAGCTAAGAGGTACCTGCCACTAACTCCCTTCCTCCCGCCCTCCCTTCCTTCTTTCCTCCTTTAGTCCTTCTCTCTCTACCTTTCCTTACCCCTCACTTCTCTTCTTCCTCTCTCCCTCTCTCGTTTTCTTTCTTTTTCCTTCCAGGAAAGAAGTCTCATTACCAAGCTTTCTGTAAGTAAAAAAATAAAATTTGGAAGGAGTCTGTCACTCTTCACATGAAGCGTCATGTGGAAAAGTAAATGACAACTTTGGGTATTAAAAATGCCCTTAGTTTTCTGGCAAAAGAGAAAAGCTAATGTGTTACAGATTTGAAAATGATCTTGGGCACAGTCACTCAGTCGGAGCCGCAGGGGAAGCAAATGGTAAAGGGTTTATCACACCCTGCATTGAGACCAAAGTCTAAAAGCACTCTGTCTCGATAAAGTGGAAGTTAAATGACTGTGATAGCATTGTTCCCAGATGCAGGAATGAAGCTGTGTAGCAGCATAGGTGGGAATAGGAGTCCGGGTGAAAGGCAGGAAGCATCCCCAGGAGCTTCCATAGTAGGCTTATCTTCCTGGAATGTTCCACAGCCTGGCAGACTTTTCTGCTCACTCCTACAGTCACTAATTACCACCCACTTTACTGATCACTCTTTCATGTTTACTTCTAATTCAGAAAACATTCTTACAAAGAAAGTTTAATAAGGATGAAAGAAGCATTTGTTATTAAAGCCCCGTTTGTCACTGTACTTGAGTTGTCAAGTCCTGCTGCTGCTGCTAAGTCGCTTCAGTCATGTCCGACTCTGTGTGACCCCATAGACGGCAGCCCACCAGGCTCCCCCGTCCCCGGGATTCTCCAGGCAAGAACTCTGGAGTGGGTTGCCATTTCCTTCTCCCATGCATGAAAGTGAAAACTGAGAGTGAAGTCACTCAGTCGTGTCCAACTCTTCGCGACCCCATGGACTGCAGCCTGCCAGGCTCCTCCATCCATGGGATTTTCCAGGCAAGAGTACTGGAGTGGGTTGCCATTGCCTTCTCCTGTCAAGTCCTAGAAGACTGTAAAGTCTTTAAAGACTATTTTTTAAAAGTGAATTTTGAAACCATGAAATTCAGCATTTGTGTCCTTGAAGGCATTATCTCTATAAAGGTTCAAGTTAATCAACATAAACTCTTACTAAGATTATGTACTTTATAAGAGATGGAAAATACTTCTAATGAAAAGTATGGGAAACCTAGTGGGTACTTTCTCAATTCATTCACTCATGCAACAAACACATATTGATTACCTGGTATGTGCTGAGCTCTTACAGACTGCTGAGATAGATCAAGGATGTAGCTATATCAATATTGGGAGTGGGGGAGAGATGTAAATTAGTATGTGCTTGCTTGCGTGCATGCTCAGTCACTCAATCATGTCTGACTCTTTGCGACCCCACTGAATATAGCCCTGACAACAAAATTTTGGTGTATTTTTCTCCCTTTTATAGATGTGAATAGTTTTATGTAGTTATTAAAATCAGTTAGTAAGAAAACAAGGTTGTCTTATATCAGGTTAAAGCTAATAAAGGAGTTAATTTTTAGCTACTTTTTAAAGGGAGGTAAATAACTTAAATAAAATTTTAAATCCTGTTTTTTTCTAATGTGAATTTCCATATATGGTATGTTGGTTAGGAGGTTAAAAATTATTCCACAAACAGTAATTTTCACCAGATATCTAGGACCACAAGTATAGTGTTGACTAATATATCTTCTGAAAACTACCAAATATAAAAAGCAACACCATACAAAAACTCACTCCTGTTATTTAAAAACCAGATTATTACATTTTTCAATGCAGTGTTACTTTTGATTACAGTAGGAAATGGCGGCCCTTTCCAGTATTCTTGACTGGGAAATATCATGGAAACAGGAGCCTGGCAAGCTACATACAGTCCATGGGGTTGCAGAGTCGGACAAAACAGAGTGACTGAGCACACTTTTAATATCATATTTTTTCATGGGGCTAATATTGGAAGTGAATTAAAAGTAAAATGCTAGTACTTTTTCTTAAAATTCTTTGACTGAGGTCTTTGAAAGTAAGACTAGAAGCTCCCACTTATTTTTCGCTGGAAACTGTATATGTTCTTTGACTTTAGCTAGTGATAGCTTCAGGAGTTGTTCCTTACAAGTTTTTTCCTGCATCAAGTCACTGCAAAACAGAAGCCACCTCATGAATGCCCCAAGCATCAAATTCCTTATGATGGATTCATGAACATATTCATTGGAGAAAACACTCACATAGAACACTTTTCAGTTTATAACTGACATCCTGTCTCTTTGTATCTTCACAGCAAACTTTCAAGGCAACAATCATTATGATCCCCCTTTGATTTGGGCTTCCCTGGTAGCTCAACTGGTAAAGAATCCACCTGCAATGCAGGAGACCCTGGTTCAATTCCTGGGTTGGGAAGCTCCGCTGGAGAATGATAGGCTACCCACTCCAGTATTCTTGGGCTTCCCTGCTGGCTCAACTGGTAAAAGAATCCACCTGCAATGCGGGAGACCTGGTTTCAATCCCTGGGTTAGGAAGATCCCCTGAAGAAGGAAATAGCTACCCACTCCAGTATTCTGTCCTGGAGAATTCCATGGACTGTATAGTCCATAGGGTAGCAAAGAGGTGGACACAACTGAGTGACTTTCACTTTGACTTAGATCCAAGACCCTAGAGCTTGTAATTAGAATGTGTCAAATTCTTCCATGGACAGGTTTCCTGGGCTTTTAGGATTCTTATCTTTGTTTTCCATTCTTCCCCAATTATTTCAAAAGTTGGATTATAGGAGTGATATATTTTAATCATTATTTACTAGTGTGCAATCTGATTTGAGAAAACTCAGATCCAACTCCAACTTGAAAAGTATAATCTGATACACTGGAAAGTGAAAAGTGAAATGTTTTCTTTCTAGTGCAAGCCTAACTTTAGAAAGAGTTGAGAAAGGAGGTAGGTGGAGAAACAAAGAGAGTTAACAGCTCAGGAAATCAGTTCATAAAAGTAAGATAGTTGACACATTCCGCTAAAAATGAAACACTGTACGCGTGTTTCCCACACACTTAATCTGGTTTCACCTAGGATGCTGTCAGTGACACAGAAGTCATGAAGTCAGAATCTCAAAACCATATTATTCACAAGGGAAAAGGAAGTCTTGGAGATTTTAAAGTTAATGCCAGGCATGTTAGCATTCATACTTCTTGGGTTAAACTAACTAAGCTAAGACTCAGCAGGGAGGTGATCTCCGGCTCTCCTTTGGTCTCACCTTATAAACCTACCCAAAACAGTTGCTGAATCTTCTTATAATATTACCTTTTTATTCTGCTCTTACCAGTTTCTGTTTCTCCCTACCTCCTAAGTTTTCCCACTAAAATATCCATTAAGTAAGCTAAAAATTTTTTATCAGATTCTTACTAAACAGAAAGGAGACTAATTCTTCCTTAGTTTATGAGCATGAATCTCAGAACAACACAGAGAATTAACAATTTTTCAGTCAATAAATGAAATAATTTCCATTTTTATTGATTTCATTAATACTTTAACACTTGTCAAAAGGACACATTTAAAAATTTTTTCTCATCGTCTGGCAGAGAGAACCATCAAAATTCTCTTCAACTTATTAATTGATCACAGTATATAGTATCTTTGTCTTCCAAATAAACTGCTGCTAGAATATTTTAATATGTTCTTATAAAAGTATGTAAAGATTTTGCTGAATATGAAAACCATAAAAAACTACTGAATAAAGACTATTTACTAACCATAAAAGATTAATTCTTGGAAAATTAATCTTCAAGCCATTGATTTTCTATGCCATCTTTTATTTCATAAACTCGACTTTCAATATCCTTTATCAAGGAATGAGGTTCATGTTGACCTATAGAAATCAAGAGAGCTAGCTTGAGACTTAGTTTAAGAAGCTAAACAATGGAGCTTTTGGCTGTTCCCCTCTGTCATTTTCAGAGAAATCGATTTTAGACAAAATACCTGGTTCAATCCTTATAAAAGGTAAAATGACCTCAAACTTTTTTAAAAAATTTGAGAACACTAGGCTTGAAAAACACAGGCTTTCAAAGTACTTGATATTTGAGGCTTAGTTTTATGATTTGATTTCCTGATGTTAAATCGTTCATAAACTATGTGGAAAGTAGTTATATGCCTATTTGTATGTTTTCAAAGAACTCCATGTCTTTAACAAACTTATTCTAAGAAGTTGACAATTACAGACTGAAGGAGAATATGTTAGTAAATTACATGATTCACTTTTCTCTTTTTGGAATTTATACAGTAATATACAAATTATTTGGGGGGGGGACGTTCAAGCAACTGACAGATGGACACCAATAATATTGTATAAAATATAAATAACTACCATTCAAATATTTTATAAGCAGGGAAATTGTTGGAAGGCCAAATGGAAAGAAGTCAAAGTTGGTGTGATTTCAGTGCAAGATATGAAACAGGAAGTGATTCCGAAGAAGAGAAGAAAGAAGATGAAAAGGATCAGGAAGAGGAGGAAGACCCATACACTTTTGCTGAAATTGATGACAGTGAATATGACACAATACTGGCCAATAGGAGTATAAAGAAAAAAATTGGAAGTCGTTCATTCATTATGAACAGACCTCCTGCCCCCACACCGCGACCCACAAATATCCCTCCAAAAGAGGAAACTACACCTTACATAGCGCAAGGTAATTTGTTTTGTTATTGCTGTTACTGTTTGTTTGTGTATGTGTTTTTGGAGGATGTCCTGTCTTTTGGTAGGATCTAAAGCCTCAAAGATTAAAAGCATGTTTTAGAGTCATAGTTAAGTTGTGGTGGCCCATTTTTTAATTTAAACACACAATGGATAAAGAAAATAAGGACAGTGTGTGGGGTTCTGGTTTATAATTGTCCACTAAGAAGGGTAGTTTTGACTATGAAACCGTAGTATGTGCAAAGAAATACTGTTTGGTGCTTCTTCCATAATTCTATAAGAGGAAGCTCAATTCCCGTGAATAATGTGCAACACAAGAAAAATGTAGGTACTTGACTTTTTGCCCCTCTTCCATTCACAATAACTTTAAAAATCTAAACAATTTTGAATATTAGAATCTTAGATATGCAACGCCAGTTTCTTTGATAATTGTACTTCACCCCCAATGATTAAGATTCACTTCATCCATGATAGAATTTCTGCTTCATTTTAGATCTCAATACTTTGTCATTCTCAGTTAAATCTAAATATAAAAAACATAAAAAATCCTTAGAGCTTTCTTATATCAATAACCCCAGTAGGGTGTGTTGACTTTGCTGTTTTTTCCTAAAATTCTTGTGTACTCTGGTTTGGTACATTCCATGAGTCCCTGGTGTCTAAGACATGACTTTTATTCATCAGTGTATCACAGACACATGCACTTAACTGCACTTTTGGGGTTAGATACCACCCTAGGGACTGAGAATGTGAAGTAAACCAATGTTTCCATCCTTAGGGTGTTCTAAGCAACAGCTATGCAAATAAATATATAGTACCATTTGACCTTTTATTAGAGATTTTTGAATAAAATATTTGGGATTAATCAAAATGTTTGGGTGATAACTAAAGATGAGAGGCAATATATTATACATTCAGATAATCTAAACCAAGTACATAAGCAGAACACTTAAATATATACCACAGATTCACTCAAAAAGAACAGTTACTCATCTGTGATCAGTATGTGCAAAAGAAACGATTCTATTGTGTAAACAGTATGTATGGAGAGATTTGTATAAGAAAACTGAGCAAGTTTTTCCACTATCGTTTACACCTAACAGTGATCTGCTGATAATGTTCAAGACACTATTAAAAATAATTAGAAACCAATAACAAATTAATTAAGTTTTCAGCTAAAATAAAATGTCAGCTGGAACAATTATTATATTATTAAGGCAAGGGATAAGTTGTAATTAGAATTTTTCACATTGTCTAACATAGTGGCTCTAGGATATTATATCCAGGCCTTCATATCAGCAGATTCCACATCTAAGGATTCAACCAACTGCACATCAAAAATATCCAATAAGAGAAAATTCCAAAAAGTACCACAAAGCAAAGCTTGAGTTTGCCTCCAGGGCAACTGCTTGCATAGCATTTATATTGTATTTTTAGCTAATTATATAGCATTTACATTATATTAGGTATTGTAAGTAATCTAGAGGTGATTTGCAGTAGACAAGAGAATGAACATAGGTTATAGACAAATACTGTACCACTTTATAAAAGAGACTTGAAAAGTGAAAGCGTTAGTCTCTCGTGTCCAACTCTTTGCAACCCCATGGACTATAGCCTGCCAGGCTCCTCTGTCCATGGGATTCTCCAAGCAAGGATACTAGAGAGGGTAGCCATTCCCTTCTGCAGGGGATTTTCCCAACCCAGGGATCGAATCCCAGTCTTCTGCATTGTAGGAAGACTCTACCATCTGAGCCACTAGGGAAACCCAGAAGAGACTTGAGCATCTGCAGATTCTGGTATGGAGGAAGGAGGTCATGGAAATAATTCCCTGTAGAACCCGAGAGACAGCTGTACTAGCTCTTTGACAAAGTTGTTAAATCCCAGTAAATATTTTTTTGAAGAGGGAAGATAGACATGCAATTTAATGAAAGAATTTGGTTATTTTCTAAAAATTTTTGAACAGGTACATCATCATCTGTATCTCAGTCTTTTGTGTGTGTGTGTGTGTGTCTCAGTCTTTAGGGAGTTCTCAGGACCACAAAGACCATGCTGTGCTTCTCTATTTTTTGCTCTTTATATCTTCTCACCCTTCTGTCAACTGTCATGTTCTTGTTTTCCATGAATTCATTCTTGTGTTGTATTTGTTCTTTTTCTGTATCATTCATTTCTCTTTGTTTACTGGTAGTGGGGGCAATGAAGTTTAATTTCTTTGTCATGGCTTTTGTCTCGTTTTGCTTTGATTCAAATTTGTAAATTTCTGTGATATTTATTTCTCCTTAGTTCTCATATCATCTCTATTATCTCTGCTTGTTGTTTGTCTCTTTGGTCTGGAACTCTTGATACCTCCATCAGATAGGTGACTCTTCTTCACTATGCCTTCATGGTGAAGAATGAAGCACTGAAACCTAAATGGAAACTTCCCCTGCTCACTTGTGGACTGCACTGTAGGACAATGATGTAACCAGCTTTTCACTGGATTATCCCAAAGTGTAAGTTTAGGTAGATCTAGTCTCCTGTTTATCAGTATATCTAGAATAAATTCCAACTAGTTGTAACCTAATTTGTATACCTAGTTGCCAGCACTCTGAGATCAGAGTCTGGGAAGAAGACTGGGAAACTTCACCACTCAGAACGCACCATTTAACTTGTTTGTCCCTGTGCTCAGTCCAGTGTCTGAAACTCCTTCACCCACTGTGCCTCCTGTGCCATGGCCCTTCTATTCACTTTCTCCAAGAACAAACTGCCCATCATAGATGATTGCCTTATTTCATTGAAGAATGAATTAGAAGCAATGCCTGCGTTAGACTGCCAACCAAGCTCCATGTTCTATAGGAGCATTGGGATGGTTCTCCTCATTCATAGGTTTATTAATTATATAAAGTTTTATTAAGAACCAGATGATAAATTCTTTCTGTGTATTAATTATTCCATTCCCCTACATAACCATGGTACAATTTGTCTTTTATACAGACACACAGGAACTTTAAAGAATCATCTTAGAAATCTCACCTACTCATCCCATGTCCAACACCTATCAATATTTACAGGAAATCTTTCATTCAATTACACAATCAAATTTGTTCTCACAGCATTTGTGTTACATGCAGACAGGGATCACTGTTAATATGATTTATTTTGTTTTTGTTTTGCACTTAAGTATATACAAGCAAGTATGATTATTTTCCCCATATTTCAAACCAGTAGCAAAAACTGAACTATAAATGAGGTCATCAAAGTCCCTTTCCATTATTTCTTCCTTTTCTCTTTTACTGCGATATACTTGCTGGCCTCTTCCTTTTATGCTATTGATTGTTGATCATATTGTTCTCACATTAGCCATCTAACATTTCCTCATCAGCCAGTTCTTTTTTGATGTTCTTTGCATTTCATGGGATAAATGTCTTTCATCACGGCTTCCTTTTTTCTTTCCTAGCTCACCCATCTCTATTAAAGAGAATATCCACCATTTCCCAGAAAGCTATCCATTCAATTTGAAGAATATTAGTTTGCTCTAGTTCTTGCCAGAGCACAGAAGCAATAGCGGAATGTTGGCCCATCCGGGGTATGTTAAAGTAGCCAAAAGAGAAGGGTGTGCAGTGGGGATGGAAGAAGAATGCAGATGCAGAAGCCCAACTTACTGTTTCAAAACCTCAAGAAAGTAATAGCAAAGTGACTAGGCAAATAAACCAGAGAGATAGGAAAATCATGTTGGCATTTGTGGGATAATAGAGTATATGTGTGTGTGTCTGTCTGTGTATTTAGTTGCTTAGTCATGTCTGACTCTTTGCCCAGGAATTGAACTCACATGTCCTGCATCTCCTGAATTGCAGGCAGATTCTTTACCACCGAGCCACCATCCAAGTGATTAGAAGCTTGAAATTTTCACTGTCTAGAGAAGGGAGAAGGACTGAAAGTGGATTAAAGATCAATCCTGACTGTGTGGGGAAGCCTCCATAAAATGCTGATATTATGGGTTTTCAGGGGCTTCCAGGTTGACAAACACATAGAAAGGGTGACATGCCCCCAGATGCTATGGGGACAGACTCTCTTGTGCCAGAGACTCCCAGACTTTACCCTATATATCTCTTTATCTGGCTGTTCATCTGTATCCTTTATCATATTCTTCAATAAACTGGGAAATAAGTGTTTCCCTGAGTCCTGTGAGCTACTCCAGCCTTTAAATAGAACCCGAGGGAAGTTGTAAGAATCTCCAGTCTGTAACCCAATCAGACAGAAGTTGTAGGAAGCCTTGGGACTGGCATCTGCAGTAGAATGGAAGCAGGCTTATGGGACTGAGCTCTTAATCTGTTGATCTGACACAATGTCCAGGTAGATAGTCTCAGAACTGAATTAGAATGATGGAAATTGTGGTATATTCATGCGGTGTTGTAGGACTTGGTCGGTGGGAAAGCCCACACATTTGGTGACCAGAAATGTCTGAAATGAGAGGTGAGAGTGGTGTGAGATGGAGGAGACACACAGAAAAGAAAAGCCCAGGAGGAGAGTTGGGTTTTCCCAATACTGCTTTGAAGGTAGGATTCAGATTCAGCTGATATTACTGAAGCAAAAAACTTCATATATTTGAGATTCAAATTCCTCATTGTAAGTTGGGAACAGAAATAATATGTGCCTTAAGGATTGTTTGGACTTCCCAGGTGTCCCAAGTGGTAAAGAATCCAGCTGCCAATGAAGAGATGCAAGAGACATGGGTTAAATCCCTGGATCAGGAAGATCCCTGGAGGAGGGCTTGGAAACCTACTCCAGTAATTCTGCCTGGAGGATCCCATGGACAGAGGAGCTTGACAGATTGGGGTCACAAACGGTCAGACACAAAAAAGTAACGAGGCACACAAGCAAATACAAATAAATGACAAAAGTGACAAGAACCACATCAATGTGGGTAGAACAGGAGACTTCACTAGCACTACAGAGGATGATCAAAAGAATATATCAATCTACTAATTTCTAAATTTCCCATTTTAAACTAAGCATTCTAAG